CCCTTTGCTTTTTCTACCTATAAGTAGTCCTAAAACAGGCTACTTCGATATTTCTAAGTTAGATCACGTTTTTCGCAAGCACACACTATAGTAGTTCCAATTTGAAGAAGTACGGTAATATATATTACACAGTTCTGGCCAGGTGTATGAACCATTACAGGCTAATTATTGACCTATAGGGCTGAACAGCTGTCGGAGTGACTGAGGGACCAAACCCATGTGATCATTGACAGCGATACGTTTTACTGAAGAAGCGTAAGGTTTGTGTCATGATTCCATAGCGGCTTTTGCTTGAAACTGTTTTAGCCGGTATAATCTCTCTGCTGCTGATATTTTCAACGTGGAGTCAAAATGGGTCCGACGTATTTGTAATTCGAGTTGCTAGAAAGCCAGAAAGAAATGTGCCGAATACTCTCAATAGCTCAAAGGACCCATATTGGTGAAAGGGTTGCTGAGGCTAGCGCTGTTTTGAGTTCTACCGAAGTCTTCTTCTTTAGGACCTGTGCACAACAACTCGGGCAATGACTGAGTACTTCGAAAAGTAAAATGTTGTTCAGGTCACGCTGCAGCTGAATATAGATACTCTGTGCGGCAAACCGTTCATCGGTCCGTGACACACCACACCTGGCTCCACACCTCTCATACGCACTTCTATATACCACAGCCTTCTACTGCATTCAAGGAATGCCTCATGAGTTTGGAAATATTTCTTGCACTCCATTTATGCGTTAGCGTTGGTTGAGCTTTCTTATCATGTCGCAGCACATGCAGGCATTATTTTCAAACTTGGCTACTTTTAGACTGACCGAATAGTTTTCTATACTTTAGTTGTTCGATACTCTATTTCTATCGAAGCACACTATGATAGAATAGTGGCGTTACCACAAATTTAGCGAAGCCATATAAGGCTGTGATTGATCACTGTGGCTGTTGCTTGTTTGCTGGCACCCTCGTCCCTAGCATCTTTGCCCTTTTTGTCGTCGGCTCAACTCAGACAACTTTATCGAAAGCCATCTCGTCCCTTGCGTATATCGATACACAAGGGACGAGGTGGCGATATGTGGTCCTCTCCTTCAGGCTGTTTCTGCCTATTTTCTTCTACCTACATTGCCGTCGTTGTTTCATGAGTTGGACAGTCGGCGGCACAACTGTCCTTCTGATCTTTTGGGCCAGATTCTTTTTCTCTATTATTGCCTCATCGCAAACCGCCTACTCACCTTTCACTATTAACACTGAGTCGACTAGTGTCCTCTTCTCTCTTATACAGCGTTACCATTTTGTGTTCCAAGCTTCATGTCTATTTAATTAACCATTGCTACAGCAACGTCTATTCGCTTCTGCTGATAGTGTCCATGCGCGTCGTCTGACTAGCGAGCATAAGGTTAAGGTCGTCTAAAGCTTGCAGCACTCAGAACGATTTTGCGCCATCCCATAAGACATTGCATTAGGCCGTCATTGTCATGACAATAAGGCAGAGAAATCACTTGCTAGGAATCACCAAAAAGGAGAACAAAGCGAAAGCGTGTGGAAGTTTTGTGGGTTGCTTCCCCTTCATTTCTTTGCACTGAATTAACCGCAACTTCCTGCCGCGTCAGGATCGCCACCATTACAAAACTTCTTCTATATGCATATATATATATATATGCTATATATATATATATATATATGTCGTCTACATGCTTTGCCAACTATCTATAACAATCAGATAATAGTCACGTTATATAAGGATGGCTGGTGCAATTATTGGTGTACTACCCCCGCAATTGCATTTGCAGTACCGTTTAGCCTGACTTTGCTAGAACGGAGGATGCCTTGTGGAGTTTCTCCTAGGTCGCCGACGACACACTCGTGGTTATGCTCCTTAATGGACTTGAAATTCTGGGTTTTACCAGGCATTGTTATGTATCTAATCTGTCTTATCATGTTCTTTCCTCACACGGCTTTTGTCAGCTGCGATATCTGTAACTGACTGCCTTGCCTTGCCTTGCCTATCCACGTTGGTTTGTTTCAGTCGTGGCCCGTCTGTGCGGCTTTCCTACGCTATTTACCGTTCCCACCAATAAGGTCGACCGCGTTCGGCCAGGTAAAGTTGTCGCTCACTGTTTTTTTCTGAGAAACATGTCGCATGTGACATGCGTCTATGTTATTTGTTCAACCTAACAAACAAGGTTTTTAGCGAGAACTAATTTACAACGCTGAGTATTGGAGTCTTGCGTGCCATTATGGTGCATTGAAAATAAATCGTTTGTGGTGGCTGTCTAGAAATGTTGCATTGCATAGGTATTTATTTTTGTCTTTCTTAGACCTTAATATAAGCAGAATAAGCAACACTCCTAACAAAAATACGCATTACTCCTTTGGTACTTATTCTTCTATCAAGCGCATGCAATAACATACATTAATAACACAGTAAATGACAAGCATCGGACTTGAATTTTTCATCACTATTAGGTGATAAACGGTTGTGGTCTATTTAGGCCAATAAGTCAAATGGTCGCCACCTGTCAGTACCGGCATTAAAAATCCTTTTCCTAAAGATACGTTAGAATAATGTCTACCTTAGAGTGGAGATGAAAATTTGCTCAATTTACAGCGCAGTAAGTATTTTCATTCATTTTATTCAAAAAACAGTAAAAAGTGAAATGAGATAGAAATAATTACTCTGCTTTTTTTTATATTCTGGTGCGATTAGGCTTAACCGAGGCATTGCTTTTCTCTGTTTTCTTTGTCACTAATTTCATAAGTTATTTTTACAAACGATTGACGCATCGAAAACTATTCGAACTTGCATTTTTCTAAAAAAAAAAAAAAATATAAGGGGGAACCCGGGACATTGCAAGCATAGCTAAGAAAAGCTGCCTTCAACAGCGAACTACAAATCAAAATCATTACGATTGTGATTATGAAATCATTAAGAGTTGTGAGTGTATTCGTGTTTTACTGATCTTGGTTATATTTTCCATGAATAACAGGTTTTGGGCGAGTATCGTATTCGATCTTTCGGAGAAGGCCAAGAATGTTTGCTCGCAAAAATAAACACGAACGGATGTAAGGACACAAAAAGCAATGTAAGTGTCACTGTTCGGCGAACCATTTGTTTCTCTCAGAAGTCCATCATCGAATACATCCTTTTGCGTGCTCTGCACCAACGCCATGCTTACTACTGAATCTTGGGCAACCGGCAAGAGTGTGGGTATTAAGTTCTCGAGGCAGCTGGCTGGCAATAATGACAAACTAAATATTCCATCATACTCCCACCTACGCTGCATTAATCTAAGCTCGCAGCACGCTAGTTCCAATCTTCGACTTGCGGACGGGCGTGGTTCGTTGGATGTTAGGCTGTCTCAAATCACGAAGACGGGCGAAAGGTTGTTCACAAAATACGCCATAACGCCTTGACATAGGTGTCGCAGACTCAGCGAAAACTGCTGAACTACTCGTAGCGTAGGTGACTGAAATGATGCCGGCAGGGCTTCGATAACCCACGATGTCAGGTATTCACTACCGTTCCTTCGGGAACCATGACGTATCAGGAAAGTCATAATCATTATTTTCACAAAAAAAGATGTGGGCCTGAAAAACAAATACGTCAGTAAAAAACAAAGAAAACTGAACGCATGGCTTGGAGTTATACTATTTTCGAATGAGCCTTGAATAAAATAGCGATCGAAGTGAAGACGAAAACAGTAATAGAGACGAGCAATGTCTTTACCTTTATGCCCACCAATTTGCCATCGTTGTTCGTCGACTGAGCATTTCTGCTAGTTTTATTGAAATGTTATTTTATTTATATTTTGTCCTTAATCCCCTCTTCAGCTTACTCCTTTCCTCAGCATGTACTCTGTATTTGCGGTGCGACCAAATTCAAGGTTATGTTAATAACCTACATATGTTTACGTGGATTGCTTGAGTCGTCCGCTATAGCAATATAAACAATGGATACAGCATTAAATCCGCCTCAAGGACTAGAAAGAGTTAGCTTGCTTCTGCTGGACCTAGACAGGAAAGACGATGTTTCCGAGCCGTTTTTTATAATACATATTTGACAACAACACAAAAACAGAACCGTTTTTCACGTCGTTTGTGCAATAAAGTACTCTTGATAAATAATATTACCCAATTAGTTATTCAAGATATCCACAATATCCTTTGAACAGCAAAATGCCGTAGAAACGGATAACTTCTAGTAAATACCTGCTTTTTTATAAGACTCAATAATCGGTAAATACACAATACCGATCTATTTTGCGGTATAACTTCAGTGGACTGTGGTACTGGCACAGCTACAGTCCATTAACATTGTATCGTGCAACTGTGCAAATTTACATAATGACATCTACACCATTTCAAGAAGCGCTCCAGCTTTAAACTTCGTTAGTACCAGAAGTATCGTAGCGTCTTCGCTGAAGAGCGAACATAATACAGGGTGCTTAAAAAGTGTTTATAGGGTGAAAAGCAAATACTCATGAGGCAACCCAGTGGCTAGCTCCGTTAGACATCCGGAAACCAGGGGATTCAGCAGCGTTAAAGGTCCTAACCAGCGCTAGTTAGTCAACTTACGACAGCAACGAGTTGTAAGAGCGCTAGTATTTATCGAGAAGGTTTAATTTTTTAACCATAACTCAGATTTTTTTTTGCAATGTTGTTTTTACCACCGTAGTTTCTCATCAAATCAAGACTGTCTGTCACGAAAATCTCGAAAAATGTCAAAATCATTTTCGAGGTAGTCTGGAGGGTGTTTCGAGGTAGATTATCGAGTGAAATATATATATATATATATAGAATGAAGATTATAGATAGATGACATGAGAAGGCGATATCGATGATTTGTCTATGAACTTATATAGTGATTCATAGCGTTTGCTTGCGCCTAGTTCAGTTCAAAGACGCTCGTGTACCTATCACTGCTAAATGAAGATAGTTGTACCCTGTTTGTTTAAATGACAGCTTACATTGTTCCGCTTATTCCTGTAATACAAATTTCATTTTTCGTTTTATAGGGTACAAAGGCTAGACGGGCTGCCTGCTTGTTAAGGGGTGACTAAAGCAGCAAATGGACGTCGGCTCGCTGGTGATCGTCACGCAAGACTTCATCTCAGAGCTCGAAGAGGAGCTCTCGTTGTTCGCCGGTGACATCGTACAGATTCGAGAGATAATAGACAAACTTTGGTTTCGCGGTGAATGCAACGGAGCCAAGGGCAAGTTTCCACGTAGCTACGTACGCGAGAAATCGTTACCAGCATCATGGGGACTCCGTGCGCAAAATCAAACCTGGCGCCTTTTTGCAGCTCTGGCCGATTTTGCTGCGACAGAGGACGGCGATCTGGGGTTCAGCAAAGGTATAATCAGAACCGTTTTTGCTGACGTACACTAATATCGTGCTCGGATACCAGTACATTTATACAGTCATGTATTTAGATGATATATAACTTTAACCATATTAAGCAAAATGTGATAATATTTGACTGCATGAGAGTTACTCCAAGCAGAAATGGAACTCGGTGACTTCATAAATGTATATATTTGAAGCTTTGAATAAAATCGCCAAACTATTAAAATATACAACCATTTGCTCGCCGACGAGTTACTGGCCGCATGTAGCATTATTATTTACTACCAATAGCCAATTCTGATAGTTATGCTGGAAAATGTTTTCTAAATATCGAATAATCTTTCTCACTAAAATTGAGATATATAAACAAAATGGATTAAATGCGAAGCCTTAATAGCGTATGAAATAACAGGCCTAACGATAACAGATATATTAGGGGGAGCTATTGTGAAAGAAATTAATGCGGTAGGGCACTTTAACTATTTTGTGAAAATGTACCCGTTAATCGAATACCCGGAGCGAAACCGACATTAACGGCTATAAATGAGGACTCAGGACATATCATTATGGTAAATACCTACATTTTTAAATAGCGTACGTCCTCTTCAGGAAGAAAGTGGCTCTTAGGAGATAACTAGCTTAGATAAGTTTCTAGGAAGTTTTTTGGTGAAGGGTTTCGTTTCTTCTTTATTGAGTTCGTATCTCCTCACCCGAGGCCACTTTTGTTTCTCGGTTTCGCCGACTTCAGTCTGCTTGATCACTTGCCGAGAGCTTTGCAATTGCTACAACTGGGTCTCGGACACTATGACCGAAATCGCACAAAAATGGGTTATTTCGGCCATGATGAGTCGGATAGAGATTGTTCGACAAGGGGCTTTAAAACGTCGCTGTGGTCCTGAAAGATGCTGGTCACTTTGAAGGCGTCTGTGACCCAAAAGTCGACGGGGCCTTTGGGTGTTATTGAGGTGGCAGATGGGTGGCAGACGAAGCCCGCTACCAAAAGGGTTTTAGCAGTACTCGTAGAAAAATAGAGAGCTCGTAAATCTGCTTCGGCGCCGTAGTTTCCAGTTGGCAGCATACCTTTAAAGGGGTGCAGTGAGGAAAAGGAAATATTTCGATCCCCTACCAGGCAAAATCAGTCGCCCTCCTCATTCCTTCCTGTCCATTATCGTCCCGTCATCTAGGCCTCTAGGTTGAATGACTGGTCCGAATGGGATGTTTTTTCCAGTTGTTATCCATTCTTTGACGCCTGTGGTTGTTGAGCTGGAGTATCTTGGGCCATAAGGGCCAAGGAACGATGGCCCATGCCGTCGCTCTATAAAGCCAGTCAAGCGCACTCTCGCGCTGCTGGCAATCTGGCACCCTCTGCTAGTAGCCAAGCCACAGATCCCACTGTTACTGCGGCTACTACGGGCCGGTTAGTCGATCTGTCTGTGTGGCTGGCCTGCGGGGTCTACTCTGTTCCTCTTACTGTGGCCGGTATTGATTTGAGCGCGTGTTTGCTTCGGCGGGTGTACTCACATCGGTAGCCTACGTGGGCGCGCAAGTGATCCGCTTGATGTGTAAGCGACACCACTATAGCATAAGTGTGTTACAGGGCTAGTGGAAAAAAGAACGTAATATACAACACATCATAGAGGAATGGTCACGGTGGACTCTCCAATTCTGTGCAATAACTATAGCCATAGTGCACTGTTTCTTTGTACAGTATTGTGCCGAACGTGATGTGAGCAGCACTCGGTGTTCAGCTCCTGAAGAGACGACGAAGCTTTGCGAAAATTTACTCCCGCTTTTATTCACACAAAACGCAATTCGTCTTTTATCCAGATTGTCGCATGATTTGCTTGACGAATCGCCCGCGTTCTTGCTTGGCGCTGTTATTAACTTGGAACTTGTGTACATGCACTACCGTCACCGCAGTTTGAAGTTCGCTACTGTTTACTCTTCAGGTATTCCTATGGTCTACGTACATTCATGATCCAGGCATGGTAAATTTTGTAACAATATTAAGAATCATTGTTCGATCGTTAAATATGTGTATGGACTTAGACTATGTCCTAGCTAACTATGGTGGTCAATATGAGTTTATTTAAATTCATATTCTGCTCTATTTAAAACAGAGTATGAATCCTCAGGGGTACCTGTAAGGAAACTTTATCGTCTGAACTATCGTTTTGGGTTGCAACTAAATCTGGTCTCTGTGATAGTATCTTGCATCCTAGATCCCCTGTTGAATGAATAATCAACGAGAAGTCGGCTTTGTTGACAAATCTCGTATTTTTACAGAATCGCATTTTCAGCCTTTACTAGAAGATTTGTAAACAGTGCATAGAAATGAATGCTTCATTTTCTTTCAAAGACCGAGGTCATTCGATTTAAAAAATATACTATCTCTAGCATATCTATACATGTCGTGAATGATTTCAACCATTTGATTACGCTGGTTCTTCAAGGTTCTGGGGGCCTACCAATCTCCCCCACAGCTTCTAAAAACAGATAACCGAGCTAATTGGTTAATCCGAACGGATAGGTGCGGCTACTCTTGTAGTCTCTTCACTGGGGTTTACAAGCTCCCGCTAAAGCCTGTTGATCTTCAGATGATACCTGGTGAGGATAACACGCTCACAGTATTGGTATTGTCGATGAACGAACGTGAGTGTTTACTGCTTTCAAACTGATTAATAAGAAATGAGAAAAAATCGACAGAAGAGGCAGTGTTTGGGCGCGAATAATGCTTCTGGCGACCAGTTACAAAACGAGTGGTGACCGTTTCGTTACAATCCAAACTTTTTTCGAGTTAACTAGGCTTTATCGTTTCCTTCGTTTCGATCAGCTACGCCGGCAGTGTCTCCGACAGGTTACTCTGCTAGGTAACTTTTGGCTTTAGATGTTTGTATGCAAAATACGAAACAAGCAGGCTTCGAGCTGATTGCCATGTCGTACTCTCGAGTTCCACCTTACCTGAACAAAGCGACGTTGCAACTGACTCCACACCAGGTGGTTTATATTTTTCACCATATGAGATGTGCTTACATGACGTCTACCTACAGGGTTTACAATAGTTTATTCAGCTCATTATTAGCCACAGTTCGATACCAGTGGGTAAGCTTACCCAAAATCCAGATTAAGTTGTCTACTAACCGTGCTCTTTAAGCTGCCTATCCTATCCTTGGCAAACGCGGAGGTGGTTTTTATAGTTTATCATAGACGAACTTGCTCATGAAAGTACATCTGCTTCAAAGAACACTATTTTGTATTAACACTATGTTTCTAGTTTTAAACTGTTCGATTGTTTTCTAAATTTACAAAAATTCTTAACCTCAGCAAAAAATATATATGTACGTAATTAGTAAAGGGGATATTGTTGCTCATACTTATAAAATTCACATAGTCATGTATAAAACTAAAAATGAATGAACTTTTACATGGAAATCTGAGAAGTCATCACCAATTATGCGAAAATCGCCAAATTAGAACTTTAATTACCCATAGTCGTTACCTACCGTAACTAAAGGGACAAACACCAGGTAAAACTGCCGAGCGCCGTTTCGTGAAACTACTAATCTTCCGACCAGTTTAGAAATAAATAGGAGATTTGTAATATAATTAGTGATATGATCTTGATATTACTATACTTTACAGCCATCGCATATTTATTTTCCAAAACGGCTTCATAGAATTGAGACTGGTTGATTTCCTCTTTACTGGTTTCTGCTTTAAGCACTTGGCTCTTTTATCTAAATTCAGGTGCTCTAACTATCAAAGATAAACGTTAAAATCTGATTCAGAAGAGGAAAAGCTGAAATTGAAATTGATCAAACATTCCATTTCAGTTTGAAAATATCCATTGAGAAACCTCACATAGACAAGGAATTGCGGCATAGCAAATCTATGAAGTCAGTGCGATCTGAGATCGTCTTTACAGTTTTGGCGATTTCCGCAGATAGACAGCATGATACATGGGTAACATTTGTCACATTGCAGGGGATTTGTTGATTGGTAAGGAAAAACTGGACTCAAACTGGTGGCGTGCCGAAAATTCGGATGGGCGACATGGTATTGTACCGGTATCGCACGTCTGGCCAATCGATACTCAGCGTCTACCTAAGGAGGAGGATGCTAAAGTTAACCGGCGCGCGCGTGTGATCCTGACAATGACCGCTCAACTCGGCGACGAATTAGACCTCGTTAAAGATGAGATCGTTACTGTTCGAAGGATCATCGATCGCGACTGGTATTGGGGTAAGCATTACCAAAGTGGAAATTGTAAGAAAATCATTGACGAGCTAAGCTGAAAACAAATGCAAACATATTCTGATTAAGAAAGATTATCACTTGCTAGATTACTAGCTATATCATTAAAAGCTTACAATAATGACGATGTTTGGACTATTGGTAATAGTATGAAGATTTTAAATGAAAACTGGCCACTTAGACGTACGCACAGCTGATATACTACCGTTAGCAGGCGTATAGTTTTCGAATAAACACACCAAATGGCTTATCTAGATCGGCTGCAGGACTTTTACAGCAATTAGGATCTTGTCAAGTTTTTGTTGGTTTCAGATCAGTCCATTGTTGAAGTTCTTTGCTAATTGCTGAAAGTATAAGCTTCATCGGATCTCGTGAAGGCACCGGGTGACCCTATATGCCAAAGATCTAAGTAAGAAGATTTTGATGTCCAAGGGGAACAGAGTGGACGACAACACTGTAGGTCCTGCAACTGATGGACTGATCTATTATGTAAATTGGAAGAAGCTTTTAGCTGAAGTATTAACTGAAGTATAAGGCATTTACGCTAGCAGCCATAAATATCGAAAGGTTTCTCTCGCTAAAGGATATTCGTCGAGAATAGAAACAAATCTTGTTTATACCTAAATTTTATTGTCACAGTTCTAGATAAGTCGTGTAGCAAACAACACTAAACAGGTGATTACTTAGGGAGTCCATCAAAACCTCAGCGACCCGTCTGTGGAGGTTACGACGAGGATCAAAGATTTTAGTTCCGTAGATTGAAAGAAAGAGCCTGCTAATCTAAATACTCCAGTTTTTATAGATAGCTGGAATCCAATAATATTTGGTCAGCGATGCATCGCAAATGTGAAGATATTCATTTTTAAAATTTGACCAAATTCATAATGTTAAAAGTAATCTCGAAAACAATGACTAACTAGAAAACTAGTTGCGCGTGATAGACGTGTATCGTTGTGAGGACTAGTTAGTAGTGTAACAGCATGAAGAAAATATCGGGCTTACCGTAGAGAATTGATGCACCCAATCCTATTTCTCAGTTGAATGATTTCTACGCTTTTTCAGTATACCTCACCGAACGATAGACAGGGTAATGAGCATGAAAACAGTAAGTGTTATTTGACCTTTAATGAGTGTATCACTATCGCCTTCTCTGATAAAACCAGAAATAATGTTCTAGCTAAAAGGTCGTTTAACTAGATGGAGCATTATACGCTTGTGTTGCTAATGGGTAATCCTCACAAGGCTCATAGGTTTCGAATTGAACGTTTTGCTCTATATCCTAGCGAGTCATTGAACATGAATAAAGGTAAAAAAAAAAAACAATTCGCAACCCTAATTGTGCTACCCTAATACTGATTGAGACTTAGTTATCCGTAAAAAATCAATATTGCAATTGACAAACTTCCTTTGTAGTGTTCATTTCATATTCGTATTTCAAGAGCTGACTGTTCAGGGACACCATAGCGACATTTGAGTACTAACTCTGTAAACCTATATCAGCAATGAAGTAGCACTAATTTTGGATAAACGATGGTCAGGTGTTTTTCACTAAAAATTTTACGACTGATTTTATGTAGCGTGTCGAAAGTATTGAAATTGCGGAGGCAATATCTTATATAATTGTCTTAGTCTAAAGGATAACCTCCTTTGCAGATCTAGTCTCGTTCAGGACAAAGTCGAACATCAGCTGCATAGCTGGTCGATTCTGCCGAACTCAGTGAACTGTCAATTGAACATAATCGAAATATGCCGGCATTCGAACGCCAAACTCACCCCGTTTCCAGGGGCTTTCTCAAGAAGTACGTTTAAGGTCACCTGCAAATGCGGCGAAATGCAGACTTTTCAAATCAACATTTACTAGGAGCAGCAATAATACTCTATACGGCAATGGCTGCAAGACATTAATAATCGAATACTTCTCACCTACATGTGTGTTTATAGTTATAGGTGAGCCGTAGTTTGTGCGTGTTCTGCCCATACCCGAATACTTCGAACGTTTTGTTTTCTACCTACAATTTCCATCCTCGTTGTTGTCTTCGGCAACCCGGAAGTAAAGGCTTAGCAGATCGTCAGTTTATAGCGTGCTGCAGCGTGGAAGCATATGCTCACGAATATGTGTAAATGGACAAATTTACTTAACGAGTAACCTTTATTAGGAGAACTATTGTTGGCAAATATTAGGCAACAAATTGAACGGGTAAGGTTGGCAATGGATCTAGAATGACCTACAACGTGACATACGAAGTGTGTTGGTCAGATGTTCTCTACGACCAAAGATAAATACTTGATAACCAACAGTAGCTTTTTGGTTTGTCTCATCGTTTGTGGTGACGTGCTTAAAAGGTGTCCCGTAAGGATCGATCGAGCGGTCTGTATCCAGCCAATTGTATGAATAGAAGTAGTGTGCAAAACGAACAAAAGATCTAAAACAAATGAAAACATGCGCTTGAAAATCAAAGTTTATAATTTGTGAGAGGCAAATTAAAATATATTCGGAGTCAGTCCCGTTGATCCTTCAATGTATCGCGCCTAAACAGTGTATTTAAAATAATCGAAAACCCTAAAAATTTACCAGGTGAGAAGCACGGAGGGTATCGATCCTCCAGGCAGAAAGCCTGGAGCGTAAAACCTGATTAGTAGAAAAATTGGTTTTTGGTGACAACGACGAACAACTAATTGCCTTAGTATCAGATCAAGCTCAACTTTCGGGCAAGTTCCTCACTATATAATGGCTCAGTGCTTAGACGACAACACCGGATCTCAATTTTTACTGAACGGTTTGTATTTTTATGGCCCCCGCAGCTGTGCAGTATTTGCAACCGAGACCGGTGGATTATCGTGCCGCTTACAACATTGACTTGTAACGCGCACCACGATAAGAGGTACGAGGAAAAGGAAGGAAAAGATGCTGTCCAGAAACATGGAAACTAAACCGAGAAAGGAAAGCATGGATCTCCATACTTACTGAGTAGTCCGGAAAAGGTTGACCCGCGAAAAGGTCCACATACTGGTCGAGAGGTTTCACAACTTTGCCACGGTGAAGGTCTCAACGATTCAAAAGGCATAAAGGAAGCACGAGAAAATGCCAAAAAGATGGCAAACATTGCGGTAAAAGAATGTGAACGCAGGACCAAAACAAGGAAGAAGGGAACAGCATTGAGATGCGAAAGCTAGGCAGAAGAGGTGGCACCGTTCTTTATTCGTTGCCGATCAGGACGATTGGTGAGAAGACAGATTTGAAATCTAGGAGGACAAAAAGAAAAGGCAGTCATTAACGAGTACATGGCATCTCTGGTCAAGAAAGAGTGGCTGGAGAATGCACACACAAAGATAGAAACGACACATGAGAGAATTTCAGGGAAGATTCATTGTTGTCGAAAAATGTGATGAGGTAGCGAAGCTCTCGAATTCGAAGTTATGCCAAATGATAACGAAGGCAAAACGAAGGGGGCACGTCTTTTTTGAGACCGGGCAACTTTGTGCACAGGAAGAGGTAGAAGCGGTGATTAGACTAAAGCGGCAAAAAACTCACGAGCCGTACGAATGTTAGGGAACGGCATCTACATAGACGAGTTGCAAAACGTTACGCTAGATATTTTGTATGAACACTTCGTTGGCTTCTTATCTCACTAGTATGGTAATGGCAGCGTTTGCAGCCATAGCAACAAACAAGATATCTTGCATGTCCCTTTGTCCATAGGGGGTATAGGCCTTATGGGTTTATATCTTATTGATGCAACAGACCAGATAGCCAACAACCGATGAAAAGTAACATGGAACTTAAATTGGCGCTCTATATTGGGGTGGCACTCCGCGGTCTAAGCCCGCTCTTCGCAAATTTTAGCAAAAGAACTGAGGTAGGTCCAGTCATGTCGCTGGCCCCCGCCTGGATAATCCCCGTACTAATACCACACGGTTCAAAATCAGAGGGGTTCATTGTATAGAAAAGTAGACGCTGAGAGAAAACTGCATAAAAAAAACATGTTATCGAGACAGACTACGAGGAAGCCTAGGTAAGAACACTTTCCAAACAAAAAGGGGAGATCTCTTCTTGAAAGTAAAAGAAGTTCATGAAGTATTAGTGAGGCTCTTTTCTGAGAGACCACCGTTAGAGCTGAATTTAAGGCTAGCTGAAGGCGCTTTAATGACTTTAATATGAGTGAACCAACGTTATTGATGTCAAAAAATATTCGATTTTTTTAAAAGCAAGTAATACAGTAATAGATTGACATAAGAACAAGCAAAGAATGACAAGCCGATAGATTACTATAAAAGTATGGTCATTTGTTATAAGTGTAGAGTGATCGCTGCTGATCAAGTTGAGAAGCACTTTATTTAGATTCGTTGTAAGGAAGCCAACTTAGCCTTTTGACTATAACCCCTGAAAAACCTGTAGCAGAGCGTAAAGCAAACGTACCAGAATCATAAGGATGGTTTTAATGGAACCACTCTATTGATCCTAAGGTGCTAAACCACTTGGTCAAGTCGACAGTTTCGTTTGACAGTGCTATAGGCTGACCGGAGAGAGTGACTAGCGTTCTTAGATCATCAGACAGGTTAGGTTTTTCGCTTCACCAGATTCCCTGCTGCAGATTCGCTGATTTTCTGGGCAAAGGCATATCCCCCATGCATCCTCTAAACCTGGGCCCAAACGCAGGATCTCTGCCAAAATGTTCCCCCAGCAAGCGCCGTATGTGCCATGATAGAAATGCCCTTAAACTCGACGAGGTAAAATAAAATCTTAAAAGAGACCAAAGGCAAACGAGATATCTCTATACCTCTGATTGCTTATCGGTAGGTATATAAGCAAGAACCGGAAAATTCTAGCAGAGGGTAGCGCTACGTATAACGTCACGCCAGAGATGGCACAGGGTTGCAACCTAAAATTGATTCGACCGAACCTCGTCTGTCATGGAGTGCTTAAGAATGCGATCACTATTAGGACCGAGAGAGAACTGGAGAATAGAACAAACACGGCCCTAGACAATGTAGCAGAAAGAGTGAGTATACATTGGCTGAAGCTAGCATTTGAAAAGACAAAAGCCACACTATTGATTGGCGGGAAAGGTCCGGAAACCTTAATATAATCCTGAAGGAACACACAGTCTAACCGAAACGGGTGCTTTTGTATCTAAAAACAAGGCTTAGTCAGAACCTAATAGGATAGTGAGGAGGCGGTCTTCGCGATGCAAAGCCTAAAAAAAAGCGAGGATCACGGAGCTGGGTGAGAAAAGAAGGGCATTACTTGTTTCACTGGTAGATCATAATGCTCTGTGCAGAAACTTCTTTCCAGTAAAAAAAAAGCAATGAAATCAAAAAAAAAAAACGAATGTCACGTAAGAAGAGAGCAGCGCGTATAAGTAGATCATATTTGATCATACTTTGAGCTACTTCGATGTTCTCCTCTATGATCTAGAGTACATAAATACCATAGTATACCATGGTCGGGAAACGTATTGGGTTGGGGCGATTACTCTAGAGAAGGTTTGAAAAACATGCACAAGGAGTTGCAGCACGAATAGGCATGCACAACAACTGCCGCTTCTTAGCTTCTTGGACTAAAAGGTTGATAGCGGAAATCTAAAAAAATATACAGATCCTCACAGCCCAACGACGTTTCCAAAAGTATGTTGGTAGAATTAAAAAATGCATTACCTGCGATGCTGATCTTTGTAACTGCTCACTCGCAGGGGCACTACACACTCTTCGAGGGAGAGAAAACAACCGCATACATTTAGAACAGACGCCGTGGTACATTAAATGCTTCGAGCTAAAAAAACATTGGACAGTGAGTACGTGACGAAGGTTATGAAGCTTAAGTTATAATAAAACTAAAGAAAGCACCGGGAGAGGGTACATTTTTCTCTAGCCCCGCGTCATATGAAAAAGAGCATTCTTCTAAAGTCGAAGTACGTTTAAAACGTTACGGATTACGATTGTGCACAAAAAAGAGTGCGAATTTAATACAGACTGTAGTTAAAGAAAGGCTGTTGAAAACTCCACTGTATTGTGGTAAACACCTAGAAATAAGCCTCGATATCCATAAACGAATTTAAACATGCGTAATTTACAAAAAAGAAGGTAAGGTAGTTGTACACGGCAGCCTTGTGCTGTAGCGTAGGCGTGAAGGGGCGCGTAAATGTGAAGGCGTGCGAGTTTAGAAATAACTGGGTTTTGCAGTAGTAATGCCATTATAATTTTCTATATTCGAGCTAAAGTAGGGTCATGTTATAAATTCATGCAACATATGATATATAAGAAATGTGTAGACTAAACCGGCGAAGTCTTTCTTCTGTACCAACATGCTACATACATAATACAACAATAGTTACGTATACACATTTTCATATGCGTATAACTCCTGCTTGCAAGCTCTCTTCACTTCTTTAATTTAATTTAGTCATCAATATATGTCATATATCTCTTAACGCTATTGATTTATAGTCAAGGAACCCGAATTAAGAAAAATAGATTGAAAGCATCGTCGTGATTCTGCAGCTTCTCTCTTATGAACATGCGATAAGTGCCCGTGACATCTACTATGGAGGATCATAAACAAGAATATGGGCAATAAGCACAATATATAGATCTGTAGGGGAATAGCAAAAAAAAAGTAAGAAAAACAAGGAGGTAACTTTTTGAGCTAATGCGATGTAACACCCCACAACGCTCTTGGGTGCCCTCTTGGCAAGAAGTTATTAGCCGGGCAAAAGACGTTGTTTTTCGAGAAAATCGAGAACATGTATAACTGCCTGTGGACGATTCGGGGTAGTTTGTTTTACTCTGCGATCTTGCTTGGTTTTCGAATTTTGTGAAGAGTAAGGACCTGGCCTTATCGTCAGATCTGATGTGTGTTTTTGTCTGGCCTTCTGTCCATGAGAATCAAATTGCAACTGAGAATGGGTGAGTCATGAAAAGTTAGAAACGGATTTTACCGAAGTGGCTACGTAGGGCTGGTTTACTGATGGAAGCAGCAGTACACGACGGGAAATGTAATAGATAACATGCGGCACCGATCGTAACATACAGTCACTACTCTTAGTTTCTTCTTGCTCTAGGGAATAGACAGCTGACGTTGATCTCTCTAACTTCTGAAATAAAATTTCGTTAGCGAATTAAACGCATAAAATTGCGTTCAAAAATAGCTTAAACTTCGTTATTTATTCAATAATCTACTCAGATCATCACAGAAAATACTGCATATCTAAATCGCATTTCAACCATCGTTTTACGTCTCCACTTCGACGGAGACCGACACGTTCGGTTGATTGTTATTCTAGTTTTGGGACTAACTAGTGAGGGGCCTAATTAGCAGACTAGGTAAATAGTCTCAAAAATTTCACCGTCGACTCGTGGCTCTTTTCCAATTGACATTTCGACTTCAGCGTAAGCTTCTTATACTGGAGTACTAATGCTCTTCATGTTTCCGACCTCCATGGGGTTTATGTGTAGACTAAACCGATGAAGTCTTTCTTGTCTGTACCAACGTGCTACATACATAATAACAAGTTTCTTGGCCTAGGGATTTTGACCCGACAGCGATTTCTGTGTCTGGTTTTTTTTGTTATTTGCAACCGAACACGAAGTACTCCATGCTGTCGTTGCCTTTTGTAATGGGCCGCCTTTTGTGAGCTCCTTTGCAGCGGCACTGGTTTACCCATTATTGATAAACAATGTCGCGAAAATAAAAGTATGAAACTAGAAGTGTGTGCCTCCAAGATCTACAGGAGGCACGATGATATACTGCAGAAATAACAGTGACGGAGAGAGGCCATTAAAATTATGGACTGGAGACTTATGTGAGATTAGTGAAATCCTACGTAAACTAACAATGTTGCGCCTATTTGCGAAATTAATAACAAGTATAGATCTGCTTGCATTTCATAAAATTAATTGTAAATAATTGTTGTAATAATGAATTAGCATTCATTTTGAGATTCACAGTCCCTCCGTGGAACTGCTGATTTCTAACTAATTAATATTAAAAACAAAGAGGTACCTCATTCACGCTGTACCCCACAGTGGCTAATCACATCCTTCTTTACTTTTTCACCACTGTTATATTTCAGGAGAAAATGACTCAGGGTGCCAGGGTCGCTTCCCCAAGGGCTTTGTGACGCTCCTGGAGGAGCGCGTGGCGGAGACCCCTAGCGAAGATCAGCCGCCTTCATTCGAAGAATGCGTACAGTCACCTAAATCTCAAGCATCACATCAATCTCAACAATCGAACGACTCCAAGCAGTTAAAAGTCTCATCTTTGTCCACAAAGCAGCATCAAAAACAGTCGGGTCAACAGCAAAAAATGGACGGAGGAGGAGCAGAGGAAGAGGAAGGGCAGACAAGGACAAGTGCAGTTGTAGCTTCTGAGATTGCCGGGAAGACGTGCCAAATGGTCCACCAAGAATCCTCGACAGATACTACATACCAAAACCTAAGGGAGGTCTTAGTTGAAGCAGATGAAGGCGAAGGGTACGGAGGTGCAAACGGTATCCAACCGTATGCGAGAACTAAATACAAGTTTACCTCTCAGTATCCAAACGAGCTGTCGTTCGATGTAGGACAAATTGTGCAATTAATACGGCATGTAGATGACGAGTGGACTGAGGGAGAACACAAGGGACAGGTGGGGTTATTCCCCACTGAATACGTGGACATCATTGTCGACGTAGCGCACGACTTACCGTCGATTGCAGGGACGTTAGCTAAAGCGCTTTATGACTTTGATAGCGGAGTAGTAGGAGATCTTCATTTAAAGGTATGTTTATGTCAACACCAAATTTATTTATCTTGTATGATTTTTTTTATTGGAATTTGTTTTTAGTGTGTTGTAAACTTATCTGTAATTATTGTATTAAAGCGATTATCTGATGATCAAAGTTGTTATTTAACGTAGACAGTTCATTTAAGTATGAACACAAAATGGCCGTATTGGCTAGCGAAACTTCAATCCCAAACTCACGAAAGCATTTGTGTTGGTGTAATAAATCCCGAATTTGGGATATCAAAAATAAAACCTTCATATGCATCTGCTTGGTTCATAATTTCGCATATGGTAGTCGCAGCCGAGTTTTTCCACAGTTAGTATTCGTGACAGTCTAGCAGAAGTATTCTTGTTTATTCTCCGAAAACAATTGTTTGATTATTTGAATTTCAGTCAGCCCGTGGACACAGTTTGTTTCTCTAGAGATCAAAGGAACTGTCAAGGAGAATGCTTAGTACGATCTGGACGTAAAATTTAAAAAGCTCGCTCGCATACTGTTAGGTTCGACCTTCCAGCGATTTCCTTCTGTCAGTTAGGCAGTGAAGCTACACAACTTATTATGGTGATCAACATGTCAGCCTAACATAAAGCTAATTACACTAAAATACGTATTACACGCAATATGAACCAAACTGAATCTAAAACTATCTTTATTTCTTCTAAACTGATTTTGTCCTTTAAAGTTTAGTTCGCTCATGTCTATGCCTGCCGATCTTTATTACAGAAGAAGCAGTCCGCGCTTCTACCAGCTTGATTAGTCCTTTACATAAGCCAAGGGTAATAGCGTTTAAAGTCGGAAAGATTTTTTTGCTGCCTTTCTTGTGAAAGCACTATTTATTTGTTGATCTTTTTTAATGTTTCGATATTCTAGTTTTTTTTTTTTCTATCATAGATGTAACTGGCTACCAATACGGTGTAACAGACACAGACAAGAACCTTCCTATATTGATTGAATCAGGGATCATAGGTGCCGACTTTTGGTATGTTGTAGAATTGATAGCTGTAGGAGAGATTCTCATTATCAACTCAACGATTGCCTATAAATATATCTATAAAAAAAGGTTCAAAGCAACTTTTAAGTAGACAGTAGAAAAACGGCTTAGATATTTGCACCTGTCATGTACCACCAAAAGCCAAATTCCAGGTAAACAAAGAAATAGGATTAATTTGGCGCACGGTTATCTATATATGTATCCACGTGGTCACGTTTTTAAAATTCGCAACGACCAAGCATTTGAAATACCTAACGAATTGAAGTTGTGCTGATTTTGCTTTAATTTCTAAGTGGCGACTCTTGTCTGTATGCCCCCTGGGAGCGGAACCATAACTGCAAGCAACTGAGCAGTTACAGAATAGTTAGAAAATATATCGAACTTTAAGTTCGATATATATGTATTGCTATATATTTGTAAAAATGTGATCGACTTGTTAAGATGAAGTATAGCAACAACCCGCAAAGTCTCAACTGTTGTAAGCGAAAAAAGTTGTTTTGAGAAATAAAACCTTGATGCATAATATATAATATAATTATAAAACATACATAATGAAAAAATATAAAGCCTTGCACTAATGGCTTTTATTAGTATTTATTTTGGACCTTAGATTATCTTAACATTATAATGCCAAAATATGTATGTCGTCCCGTGAGCATATGAAATAGCAGTTATTGTCTACGATAATACAGCAGTTAAAAATCCCTGAGAAATTTAAATGTGAGAGTTATTTAGTCTTCCGTTTCATAACTGGCAAAAAACGTCAGGCACAGCCTAAAATATTTTTGCAAATAAACGTGTTTTTTTTTGATAACATGTTTAAGAAGTGGCATTGGTTGGTCATAAATAATAACATTTTGTTTGCTTTGCCCTTTCGTAATTTATTATTCGTTTACTTGAGCGCTCTCGCTTCTATACTACCGTCGGAATTTCGTCCTATGATAAACGCCGAAGTTTTAACTCGAGTTCATGCTCCAAAAACGTTCGTGAAGGAAAAGTGTACATTGCACATCGACTATGTTCCGTTCCTTGCCGAGGTTAAAATAAAGAAGCACAAAGCAGCTCCAAAAGAACTGCTTAAAGGTAATTTGTCAAGTGCAAAAATGGAATTTTAGATCTGGAAGATTTTAGTAACTCATGGGATTTAATTAAGACGTAAAGGTTTGACGTGGCATAGACAAAATGATGACTACGTGGTGAGAGATCGTGACTCTTTATTGCTGCTCAACGTACAGCCTGGCGCAGAGGAACGCGCAAAGTCCTGCACAAAATTGCTACAAGTGACAAGAGCAGGTCTCTCTCTCTCTCGACGTCATTATAAACAATAGAAGTGGCTGGCTCCGAAAAATACCCTGGGGCCCGAAATCATGAAAGTTTTTTATGTGGAATAGACCATGACTTGCGTTTAATGTGGAGGTATTTTATACTTTGGGAAATGCTTGGAAAAAAAGCTGGGCGTTGGATGAAATTCTGCGTACGATCCAATTGCATCGGGTAAACTATCCAGCAGAGGAGACCAAAGCAAAATCATTTGCTACGACAATGTCATGTAAGAGCTGTCATCTAAAAACCGGAGCGGAAACTTTTTTGCATCCGGCATATCCTTCAAATCCAATAGGTGGTAGGTAAGATTCATGACAGCACGTCTGACAATGAACAGAATCGACATTCGATGGGTTTCTGAACACTGAGCCTAAACACTTCTGACTACACTCTATAAGTAAATTGGTTGAAAGATGGTAAAAGATTGTATGGCAAATAAATAGAGAGTGAATTCGTTGCACCTTTCATTAAAGTGAAAACCTAATGTATCATTATTCTGAAGGTTAATGCAACTATAACATATTGTGCTACAAACGATTTTATACATATTGCAGGAGGGCGAGGTTGTGGTTATATTGGATAAGATCAGCGATGACTGGTACAAGGCGAGAAACTCCCAAGGAGATATCGGCATTTGCCCAGTTAACTATGTGCAGGTTAGCTCTACGATTATGTTTTTCAGATTTTGTTTACTGCTAGCCTTTTTATATTTCATTTGCTGATAGTTAAATCTTATACACTCGAAAATATTTTTTTGTCTTTCGAGGTTGTTATTTTCTTCTTGGTGAAGTTAGAAAGCTTTGTCTTAACTTCGGATTCCAAAGGTAAGTATAGCGATTAGCAAAAGACAGCATTTGAACCTTCTATTTAGCATTTGTTCCAGTGTCTGAAAACTAACGACGCTCTACGTATGATGAGGACCTAATGGCTAAGATATATAAGCTTATATAGCGATTGCCCTCCTCCAAAAATGGTTTGAAAAATCGATTGGAGTGCATTTTCAGCGCGCTACGCTTAAGTAGGACGCATAGCTCCTTGTCGTAGACGTCATTCTTGCTTTTTTGCAGCTTTTTGATTTCAATAAAAGATGAATAAGTCTAAAATGCTGTTTCTTGTTTCTCGGCATACATTTTTCGAGCCCGACATCAAGGCATTGATGCGTGGTCCAACGGCACAAGCTGAACAGAAATCTTTCAACTGTAACGCTTATCTATGAGCAAAAAAGAAAAAGGCAGTACACTGTTGTTGCCGAAACAGTATAAAGGTATAGCCTAGTTATCTCTCTGGCTGATAATTCCTACTCTTATTCTTTGTTTAAAAATGATTGAGTAGTTTGTTCTAGATTCATAAGTACTTATTTAATCGTTCCGTTTTAAGCTGTGTCCTTTGAAATAATCTACGTTGGATACGGTACACTTATGCCAGCGATTTTTCCACTGTTCAAATCACTTTTTAAACCCGATCATTGAAAGAACCTTCAACTCGGTCATCGATTTTTCATTCTTATCATTATTATAATTCTTTGTATCGTGTCAAAACGCTTTCCCTTTAGATTTTTTCACAGTTTCGGAAATAAGAAAAGTCATAAAAAACTAGCTCCGGTAATATAACGGTTGGCAACGCGTACATGAAGGTGTAAAACTTTTTTAAGTGGTATACGAGTAGTAAAGTGTGGGCCAGTGAATCGTCGTGAGGGAGGACCCAGGTGCCACAGTTCTTATCTTTTTGTTTTTTTGACGTCTAAACAACCCATTTACCTAAGATTTTATCAGTGTCTGCTTTCCATTGGCATTCTGTAACATTTGCGGGGTGTCTATGCGATCAGTTCTATTTTTCACTCTATGTACGTTCGCTTCTTTTTTTAGGAAAAATCGCAGAATGCCTAATACATAAACCTAGAGCCACTTCACCGGCACATTGGCAACTGCATCAAGTTGCTATTAATTTTTACCTCTGTATAGCAGGTTTCATGTTCTTCTTGCTACTGCAGACATGAATCATCGAGTAAGGTGAAAATTTGAACGACCCATTCAGCAGCATGTTCAAATCTTGCTGACAATGTGTGTCGGTGTATGTTTTGTGAAAACCTTCGATCGGTGAACGAAGTGTCCTTTAGTATGTTCTTTTGCATGTATGATGCAAAATATATTTTCTAGTATATGTGCGCTGATGGGCTATGGAAGCATATCGAACCTTCCCTAGCCAGTCTCTAAAAGCGTGAAAAGGCCTAATAAAAGTGTGTAGGTTTTATCGTCAGCAGGAATTTGATTTCTACAGTAAAGGACTGTGCTCTACTCTCCAGTTCGGTAATTTAATTTGTCGAATTGTGTTAGACATTTATAATGCTACATAAACCTCAGCCTTTACGCAGGCCAGGTACTTTAATATGCAATTGTCCATTATTAAACGTGGGCCAATAAACAGGGTAATACGTGGCACAGTCAGTAATTTATTTTCGTCGATAGACGCAACAAACAGACGCCATTTTTTTTTCTATAAATGTATAGGGTAAATTAACGAAGCCGATTTCGTTTACGAAAAATTATCTTCTTGACCGCAGCTTACAACTACATACAGGCATAGCAGTAGTAAGCACAGATTATGCTTTCTATATTATCATCACACATTTGCTGCTATTATTTGCAATAGTAAACAGTGCATTACAAAAGGCGTTACTGTTTCACATTTGTTTGCAATGATGCTTGAGTTCCTGTCACTGGACTTGGGTGATACACCGAATAGAATTGTGTCACAGATACTAGCTTCGTTTGTGCTTTATAATAATGTACTAGCAAGTATTGTATACAGCAAACGTATCATTAGAACCCTAATAGCAACTACCTTGCACAGACGAACTTCATGTGCATAAAAGCTCAGCGTATGACTATAAAATAGTCGTTGAGTACAGACTTCAATACACAATAGGAATACTTGGGGTACGAATTTCTTTAGATGAAAAATTTCAGCTGACAAACCCTTGAACACGAAGTCAGCGGCTGCCAACATATTGAGACCAGATGCGAGTCAAGAGGTCTCAGTCTCTGCCACGGGTGTCGTTGCTAAATAACCTAAAATCACAGATTTTCAGAACGATACCATCCAGAGTTTTAGAAAGAAGAAATCTGAAGAGGTGTTCTCGGTATTACAGAAAGTATTCTATATGTAATTTAAAATGTTGGATTTCAAATTAAGCGTGCAGTAGGATTTCCACAGAAATTCCTTATCCAAAAATTCTAATTTATTTGCTAAAGTTTCTGTTTGATATAAAGACAGACGCGTGTCAATGAATCAGTCCCACTGAAAAATGTTTTACACGTAAGGGCGGCACCGCATACAAATCACAAAAGAACAGAAAAGACGATGAGCTTCATTGGAGTGTTGGGCGCGCTTACTTGCTCTCAACTGCGCCCCAACGTTATGATTATGGCGTCCACATAATACCTTATTGATTATTTCGATAAGCTTTTAATTGTTAGACAGTCGCGTAAACGGTTTTCTAATCAACGTAATCAATAGAGAGTTGTCACATGTACAAAACATTGAAGTACTGTATAACTGGCTACTAAGGTTCAGATGATCCTTATAAAACAAGACTAGCATGATTTCCTCGTCGAAGCAATTCCCGTAAAATTGTTCCACGCTTTCTTAGTACAAGCTATGAATAAAATCTCAATCTCGTTAATTTCCTAGGGTTCTTGTCTTTATGTACAGTAGATTTTACCCTAATACGATTAAGCAAGCCGCTTAGGCCAAGCAGCTGTTTTGAAATATAAAATCTTGTGGTACGCTTTGAAGATGACATCTTACCATTATGGCGAATAACACCAAAGATGATAAAAAATTATAGCCCTGTCCAGGGCACATTACCTGAGCCAAAATACTCAAGTCACTGAAAGTGAGCCCAGCAAATTATCTCCAATAATGGTAACAACTAACAGTTTTCAAACAAAGGTAAAACATTTTTTACGCTAAGATAACAAAGTCTATTTTTAAGTTCAGCAGCAGGCGAGATTATAGTAACCCTTCAAGTGTGAGCTTAGTTACTATGATTAGACGGGAAATACTTTAGTGAGAGCAATTTGAGTAGATGCTTAAAAAAAATATTCCTCTGACAAAGAGGTCTTGTAAATCAATAAACTCGATATATTTTGATTATTTTTGAAGAACAGCGGCACTTCATAATGCAACTAGTCTAGATTCATTTAAGAATAGCAAAAAGCAGGGAACAACGTAATATTATTAGGTTCTGTTACTTTATGAACGGTCAGCAAGCGGAAGACCTGGCTATTCCTCCTCAAGTGAAGTTATTTCACTAAGTTCAAGATACATACATCTTTTTTTGAAAAAATAAAACTTTTGTGTAGAATTACGCTTAGTCCTCCTATAAACAGGTATTACATAAATATATTAGTCTTATATCAAGTGATATGGTTAGAAATTATATTTACATTGATACTTTTACAGAAACAGTAACAAGTGCTTGTAAATGATATAGAAATGTCTTTTTGAATGTTAAAACTATTTAAACAGATCAGATTGTGGCATTAGGAGTAGGTGCTAACATATTTCCTTAGTCAACACCCTGGTAGTTCAAAACAAGAACCTTAATTTTTTTAGTCACTTTTTCCGATAGTAATTTGTCACACGTCCAGATCTTTCGACCTATTGCTCTTGACGTACGTTTTTTGTATGCCGACTAGATATATCTGTCGGCCTCACCCTGCATTCATTGGTATATGGTTAAAGGTTTTCTGAAGGTATAAGGGTTGATCGTGGAGTCAATGCTGTTCGATTTATTAGATAAACTTAGCTCACGGACGAGCATGAACGCGCGCACCTACTATTATTACGATATATATATATATGTATCTTACTGATGCAGCATTGAAAGACCTTTTTTAAATTTATTTCCTATTGCCAATCTTACAAATTTAAGAAAACTAAATGTGCTTAGGTACGTCTGTATGTTTGTATAAATTGGCAATATTGACAGTCGAAAACGGTTTAAGAGAGCCTTTTCAATGCCGCATGAATAAAATTCAAATTAAAAATATGTATATATATATGTATTCATAAATTTTACTTCTTACATAAAATATACAGCAGATTGGTTTGCTCTTATCGTACTCTATATAAAATGACAACCAGTTAAGGAAGTTAGTTATTATGGTTGCCTTAAGTGTTAACATACACTAAATTATTTAATTGTGGTCCTGTTCCTGTCGTCCAATCAGACGATGAAAACAGAGAACTAGGTTTCTTACAATGCCTTTGTTTGTGAATAACGAACATTGCTTGGTTCAGCTAATTTCAATCTTAGTCATTGAGGTATTTTTTCCTGCTTGTGACTTAGATACTCTCATTACTGCTGTAACCGATTATGGGCGGTTAAGTGCAATGTATTTAAGCTGAAAAGACGCCTTTTTTGGGGCGGCTACGACTGATTGTTTTATGTTGTTACTGTTATTCTTGCTGTCAATGGTATGCCATGCGTGCATGTGTTTATATTGGCGCTCCATGTTATACTGATTTGTAATCGGCCCATTGTAAAATGTTGCCATAAATCCTAGTTTACCCGTTTCAGGAAATTGATTCAGTTGCCATAGTTCCACCAGCGTTGACATCGCTTGGGGCAGTGGCATCTACGACAACAGCTGGCGGTTTAACATCAGCTTCACTGCCTCTCGAGGCCATAACGTCACTTGGACAACAGCATGTCATTTCATGGCTCGCCACATCAAGCCCGCCAGCGGCGCCGTCGGTTGTTAGCTCGGACTCAGGTAACATTGCTCTGAATTAGGTTATTCTATGTTATTTGTTATTGTTGTTGTTGTTGTCGGTGTAAGCTAATGCGAATATACTATTTTATATCGGGATACAGTTTTTGCAGAGAGATTTTCAAGCTTTCCTGGATGTCCTTACGATTTGATAAACGTCTAGGAAAAAGTCGTAGCAAGCACACCGAAACTTCGTTAAAAGAAAGCTAGTTTACGGCTTCTCATGCTAAAAGGGCCTAGATCCATGTGGAGGTATGCTGCTTACAACGTCAGGTTATGTTGCTACCAGTGGAAGAAAGTGTGTGTGTTTCTTTGGACTTTTCTGATGCGTTCACAAAATGCAATCTACGTCTATTAGTATTCCCAGCATACTACTTAACCTTGTTGTTAATTTTTTATATGTATTAAAATAGATATTTTACATTTAGCCATGTGGATTCTAGCGTGTTCTTTTTTACACTGGACATGATACACAAATACAAGATATATTCACATTGCGGTACAGTGTGATTGTATTTTGTCGGCATGCACTTCGTAGCGACAGCCATTGGTAGTAGCCGTGTCCCTATTGGCACAACAAGCACCTCACGATAACTGGAAGCTGCTAGTTGTTTCAATGTACTGGCTGGCCATTCTTGGGTTAGTTTGACATTTTTGCAGATTCTTACCTAGCTGACAGACTCTTATGACTGTTTTACTATCAGAAAACCTTACTGCAAAGTAAAGGGATCAGGACCGTACATGTGGTATAGATAGCTCGCACACTCAACAATAGTAGATACGGCGCTTCCAAGAAGTATGGCTTTTTATGTTATGAAAAAAATGAACAAATATGCCACTCTATATAGGTAACAAGCTTACGCAATAGTGCTCTTTTTGGCACCACATACCGCTTAACCAGGCTGCTCGTAAAGTTATCAGATAAAATTATAAGCATTGTTTAGTTACTGCGTTATTTAACACATTGAGCTGATTAGCTATAATGTCAATACCAGGATATCTTGTACGTCTTTGTACTTATTTCGTCATAGATATATTCTTTTTCATAGCAGAAAACACTGACTGCGGTCAGTGTTTTCATCCACTGCTATCTTTTGATGCCAATAACAAAATCATTTTCTACTTTAATAGGTATCAACATGATTGCAATGAATATCGTGCTGGAAGCTTTGCATAGAACAAATAATTGATCACAGAAGAGCGTTTAAACGTGACATGCATTATAAAAGAACTGCTCTATCTTCTTAATTTTTTGTCGTTTGTCAATTTCAATAGTATAGTCAGCTTGATCCTTATCCGGGGATGAAGATTTATGTTAACTCTCTTAATAGGAAAGTTAATAACACTGTTTATAAACGCACCTGTATAAAAGTATAAAAGCGCGAATGTTATATAGGTAGTACCTGCTTAGCACAGTTCCTATCATATCCAAATATGATTCGTTTATTTGCTTAAAGTAACAAATGGAATGCCATAGATATAAGCAAAGCATTTTTTTATATCAACGGAGGTCGAGAAAGAGACTTTACCTCAGGCTGTACAACTGACGTACGGATATAGTAAAAAGGGAGAGCTCTTGGTTTTTACTATATTATAGGCTTATCCATTACCTAAAACTGGTATTTCTCAAAATGCAGATGTACAATTATTATTTGCTTATAAAAAAATCAATAGGAAAGTTCCTTCAAGTTCCTCAAAGTTCCATCAAGCCAGATTTAATACCAAGATTTGCAAACGTATCATCAATAGTGATTATTTATTGCTCATTAGTTTTCATACTAGTGAACAGGACGCGGATCCCTCTGGCAAAAGTAAGACAAATTTAAATATAACAAATAGGTTTAGCTCTAAAATAACTACCATATCTGTACAAGTATCGGATGATTCCGTTACAGCAAGATATATAAGGGTGTAGTGTTTGTGAAAAACTAAAAACTACCAGATTGTCTAGCAATAAACACAGCAGCGTTCGGGGTTTATGATGTTGAAGCTCGACAGGATCGAACAGCGTTTGCTCTTCATAAAAATCTATTATCGATATAAGCAGCCGATTACGGTGGTACGGTGGTGAAAGTCTAGCATAGAGCATGGACGATATTTCTCATCTGACGAAGGTAACATGGATCAAGATATATGAAGAACTTGGGTTCACGCGCGAATTAAATAGGGCTAGGGAGACCACTAGGCGGATCAACAAGCCATAACATCGCTGCAGCACGGAAGAGTGTGTCTGCCTATCCAACGTCCTCAAAACGACGTCGCGCTTAACGTCTCGATCAACAACAGTTTATCAAGGAGCACTCTGTTAAACAAAAATTGCAACTTCATATCTACGGGGTACAGTTGATTCAACAATTACATCTCCGACACGAACACAGGTTTCGTTGATTTACTGATCGCAGGGCACGTTCTAGTAACTTCTTTGATCACATTATCTTCTCTGATGAAACTCGTTTTCAGCTAAATGTCCACATGAGTAAACAAAAATTGCCGCATCTTGGGCTTAGAGCAATTGGAGATAGGTGTTGGACAACGACTTCACTTGCGAAGGTTCACAGTGTAACACGAACAACGGAATGACAGCAATCGTCGATGGCGAACGCTATCTTTTCCTGATTGTGAGCGTTTCCGTCGATCAATATGGGGATATAGGATGAAAAAACATTTGGTTCCAGCAAAATGGAACTATATTTTCAGGCCAACTGATTTCGTTCCGTAACGCCGAATGGCCGTTTCGACCTTGTAAACATTTTTTTCAAATCTTTTCCTGCGGTGCTATATGATTGGTAATGCGTATTGAACATGAAAACAGTTCAGGGTCTGAAACACCATAGTGGTGAAATTGATGTTGAACTATACAGAGCCGTGGTTCAATATTACCTGAAACAGATCAAAAGCGGTCTCTAGGAAGATATCTAGCTAATATTATTTTCCATATGTAGAACAAATTAAAACCCTTGGGCTGCACAGAACATCGTTTTTGACATTGGAGGCGTTCGAATAGAATATAAGCCTTTTTTTTTATCCACCTTTTCCCACTTCAGAATAGATATAGGCCAGAGATTGCAGACGTTACATTTTTGTCATAGGAAGTGTAGGAAACTTGGTGTAGACCGCAGAACAAATGATCTAATATTAGCCGAATTTGCATACTATCACGGGATGTGACAGTTATGTCACCTATAAAAAGGCCTATGGAGACAGCCGAACGCGTCAAGCGAAGCTTCAAGTAGAAGGTGTTTGTGCTAAATTTGTGCCATTGACAGGAAGGCAATAAGATTTTCAACTACACAGGATTTAACCGTACAGGGCAGCCCCATAAGACTGGGGGGTTTGGTATATGCATTGCTTCGAAACGCTGTATCTAAGTCGGAGACATATATTTGAATGAAGAATGTGCTAAAAAGCGTTATTCATGTTGGTTCGATTACATCTTTAGTAAAAACCCGAACTACGACTCGCTAGTAATATTCAAAATAATCTTTTTTGCCCTCAGATGATTGTTACTGCATGCCGAACGATTTTGACAAGCGTCTTTTAAAATTCCCTGTTTCGCGTTCGCTATCGCCGTCAGGCATTCCGTCAGATAGCTCCCAGCACGAAGCAAAGTCTGGCGATACCTGGCTATGAAGCTAGACTACAACGTGCCCCTAAAATTAGCAGGCAAATTTAATGCCTACTAAGCTATCACGAGGCTCTTGAAACTGATGTTCAACTATATTTCAGTGAAAAAAAATCTAGCCAAATAAAATTTAGGCCGCTAATTGGCTAAAAGTCTCCAGCTATAAAGGTTCAAATAGTACAAAAAAAACAAACTGTTGGTAATAAATTATTTAGTACTCGAATGATCGCTGATACAGGTGTCAAAAATTCAATAATATCAGATATGATTTTTGAGCCATTATTTTAAACTTATCAAATCTAAATCCACTCAAGGTTTTCCGGCATGGCCTAAGAAAATCTTCGTTGGACTTTTCCGAGCCCGTTTGGAAACAATCAGCAACTCTGGTGGGGGCTCGTCACATAAAGTGGTAGGATATTAGATGCTTTCGACGACGACGCGCTGTTTTGCTCTACAACTGCAACTTTACGTCTTTCTTATTAATGAGCTCTCCTCGAGTAGGACTGGTAAATAATAAGTAGTATAAGAAAGTGCTGATTTGGTCAAGCCACACTGTAAACGTTGACGTGAGGCAATATGACTGCGCATTGCGCATTAATTCTACAAAAGTATGTTTTCATATACTGTCTACAGAACAAAAAAATGTTTTACTAAACTCATTATTGAGCTTAACCGTGCGCGTGTCCTTCAATATACTATTATATTGGGAGACTGTTCCACGCCAAAGCGATTTTTCCAGTACCTTCTTTGAATAGTAACGATCGGTACTAATACTGTGGCATGTTTAAAACAATGATCTGAATTCTACTCGATTAACGCGTGTCTGTAGCTGAGTGATGCTAGTGCTAGTCGACGACGATGCAAAATATCAGCTATATGCTACTATGGGCAGCACTCAGGCTAGGAGATGCTTTAGGTTCAAATATGTAGCTCGTAAGGGACAACACCTAGATTATACTAAAAAATATTGATTTACTTTAGTTAATGTACACTATGGGTGTGACGGTGTACGGTGGTCGACTCATTTAAGTGAACGTATCCTGTTCGAAGTACCAAAGCTCAAAAAGTTATCCCTGTAGAATTTTGTTTTGGCTGTAACGTTGAGGACAACAACGAAAATGTTTCGTATTTATATACGATGAAGTTCTTTTATTGTTTCTTTTATTTACTTGTAATAGTTCTTATAACTATCTTTTATGGTTAATGGTTCAAATGAAACGTATTACACATGTTAAAAGTGTGACGTTTATTGCTATAAATGCTAAGCTTACTACTCACACTTAATGAAATGACCTTTTTCGTTGATAGCAAGTGTTCAAGAGAGCCGGAAAGGTATGAAAAAGATTACTCGCAAAAGTTTCTCTGCACAGTTGAATCGGCA